GTCACACTCACTGGATTTCAGAGAGAGAGGCTCAAACACATACACACATGCATGTACACATCACACACATGCGCACATGCACTGCACATACACACACACACGCCCTCCTGACTTGCCTCCATCACACAGCTCACCACGGGGGGGGGGGGGCTGGAAAAAAGGCCCTCACTTCCTCTACCACAAGTAGCTTAAATGACAAAAAGTGGAGCCATGGTGGGCAGAGGCCTGTGCTCGCTGGGGACGTGGGCCCAGGAGGGAGGGAAGGTCCTCAATGGCCTTCTCTATCCTGAAGCGTTAGGGGTCCCACAAAGCCCTCGCCTTTGCCCGGGCTTGGTGTATGGGATGGGGAAGTGTGTGTGCCCAGGGCACAGCCACCCTCCTCTCACTTCCAGGAAGGCCAGGACCAGCTGTGCCCCATATAATATTCCTGGATATTACAGGTTGTGAGGAGGGAGGATGGGGAAGAGGCTAAGGCCGTCCGGGTGCAGCCAGTCTGTCCAGCGGTCATCACTCTGCCCCAGACCAGCTCAGAGCAGCCCCTGACTCCCCCTTGACACCCTGGAACACACAGACGGTGTGTGTGCGTGGGTGTGTGCCTCCCTGTCTCTGCCTCCTCATCCAGGGCCAGATGAGATGGCAGCTGAGGGGCATTCTCACTCCCACGCTCTGGGACCATGGGAGCCCCTCTACCCACACTGTCATGCTGGCACGAAGGAAGCCCTGGCATAGGTGAGACGCCCTTGCTTGGCATTATGTCTCTAGCAAGCACGGCCTCCAGAATCCTCCCTTGCAGGACGAGGCTGGCCTTCCCGCCAGCTCTAAGGCCACAAGCCAGGAATACTGACCTTGAGTCTGGGAGAGACGGGCCTGAGCCAAATGGCCAGACCTTGGGGCCAGGCTGAGAAGTGGGCCTCCCCCGGCATACCCTGGGTCACAGAGGTAGGACAAAAAAATGGCAGAGCCCGGCCAGCTGACCCACAGGCACATCTGTAAACCCAGACTCGGCAGGCCCCTGAGCAACAGAGAAGCTGCCAGGCTGAGAGACTCTCCGCCCATTGCCCCAGGCAAGGCTGGCTCATGGGATAGTGGATGGGGAGTCCCCCTTCCCTCCCTCGTGTGGCCCCCACCCCATCACTGCGGGGGTCCTGGAAAGCGCCCATCACCCTCCCACATCTCCCCCTGTATCCTTCCCTTGGACCCAGCCGGGCTCCTTTCCTTTAGGGAAAAGAGAAAGATCCCTTTGGTCTTGCCACCCCCAGCAAGGACCCACATCACTTATCTCCTCAAAGACAAATTTGTGAAAGGGTTCCTTGTCCAGGGCCTCCAAATCCCCGTGGCTCCCCCACCCACTCCTCAATCTCCTGGGAATCAGCCTGGTCTCAACCACTGGGCTGAAATAGCCCTTTTCAAGGTCCCCAAGAACTAGACCTCACGGCCACCCTCTCAGTGGCTTCTTCTGTGTTCCCGGGGCTCCCCCCCTGCCTCTCTGTAGCTACTGCCCACCCCAAAGCCTCTGACTTCCACCTGCTCCCCTCGGCTCCCACGGCCCCTCTACTCTCTCCTGCTTCTCCCCCCTCCTCTCAGACCATCCCCCCTTTCTAGTTCTCCCCCCACTTCCCAGACCACCCCCTCACTGGTTCCCCCCTACCTCTCAGACCACCCCCTTTCCTGCTTGTTCCCTCCCACCTCTCAGACCACGCTCCCCTCCTGCTTTCCCCCCCTCCCCTCAGACCACCCTCCTTCCTAGTTCCCCCCTCACCTCTCAGTCCACCCCTTCTCTAGCCCTTCCAAAGCCTCCTCATCCTCAGTCTACTCCCTTGAACCCAGATGTCCCCCAAGCTGCTATCTTGGACCTACTTCCTTTGTCTCCTTGGCAATGGATGTATCAGAAAGAATGCTGGAGGACGCCTCAGCAGGCCAGCTGTCCAAGCCCAGTTCTGCCTACTGCGAGTTGAGCAACTTTGGACAGGCCCTCTCCCTTGCTAGGGGCTAACAAGAGCTTTAGGATTCACAACAACCTAGAGGAAAAACCATCAGAAAAATAGGGAAAAAAGAAGGAAGGGGGAGGAGCTCTTCCAGGCCTTAAATTACAATCAGCTGCAGTCACCAAAATCATTTAATATTGGTTTAAGAAACCAAAGAAGTCAATCAGTAAGCAGACCAGACAAGGAAGAATCAGAAATAACGGAACTGGATAACTCAGGGCTCAGGAAACTGGGAGCACCCATTACCTAGGAAAGGGTTCCCTGATCTGACCAGAACTGCCCAGAATACTGAAAAGCAGTCTGGCGGAAACTAAGTTTAGACCAACACTTAACACTACGTGGGTAGATAAATTCAAAACGATCATGGGTCCTGAACACGAAAGTTGAGACCATGAAAGAAGAAGAGAAGCAGATGGGGGGGGGGGTCTTCCGCAGCTCCAGCAAAAGGATGAACTCTCACCTAAACACGGGGCGGCAGCACCAAGACGTCACTGAAAAACCTCGACCCAGACAAAATGACGGCACGGGCTAAGAAAAGCAGCAGGTCACCTGGGAAAACCTGCATCAAATACCAAAAACAAAACCCTGGGGTCTGATGATCCAGGACAGGCAACTAGCAGAAATATGGGAGACCAAAGGCCATGTGCCGACAGAAATGTCGTACAACCAGTTCTTAGAAGAGGAATTTCAAACTCCTATAAACCAGAGAAAAAACCTCCCAATCACTAATGACAAAAGAAACACAAATCAGAACAACCCGGACAAACGGGCAGAGGTGACAAAGGCCAGGGAGAGTCGCTGATGGCTAAGGAAGCTGCAGACATGCAGGCGCTGTGCACGGAATGAGAACGGCCGGCGGTTCTGGAAATCCAGGTGAACTCCAAGAAGCCAGCTACTACCACGTCCATGTCCTTCGACCCAGAGATTCCACTGGCAGGCACCAAGCAGATGCCCACTGACCGCAGAACAGCTCAGCAAACTGGTCCATATAGAGAATGGGATGCTCCCATATTGTAAGAAACACGGCTGGGACGAAGAAAGAGAAGTAGGAAGCAGAACGACACCAAAACTACTGGAGTGAAGCCCCTGAGAGGCCGGGAGAAGGGGCCGCTTCTTGTGAGAGGCAGTGGTCTACGGGTGTGGAACACTAACTCTCCCCAGCCTTTTATCCCTTTATTATAAGGGACAGGAAGGAGGTGGTAAAACCCAAAGCTATCGCTAAACTTTTATTTTACATCTCTAAGGATTTCTAGCACACCTCAGGGCTCTTGCCCTGGAAGCCAGGGACCTTTGTCCCCTGAATCCTGCACCCTCCTTTGATTAATCCCAGCAGCCTTTCTTTCCTCCTCACCAAGCTTCAGATGGACAGCCTCCACTACGGTCCAGCTCTGGTCACTCATTGTGCCCAGGAGAGGACCCTGGATCGTCCAAGGCCAGCTCGTGAGGTCCTCTCAAGCACAGAAGGCCGCCCTGAGCACACACGTGGCTCTGGGGAGGCTCTCCACCAGAAGGCGGGCCATGCTCTGGAGGGCATGCCCATGCCGGTGAAGTCACAGACGTTCTGAGACAATCAGCTACGGATGCCCTTTGGCGGACGATGCATCGAGTCTTACAGGCTATCTGGGCACTCCTCAGAGAGGTCTAGGCACTCCCTTGGCCACCTCCAACTGGTCTGCCCACCTTTCCCCTCTCTGCGAAGATGCCCAAACACTCTTCCTGCCAAGGCTCCCCTCTGCCTCCAGGAAAAGTGCTTAGCCTTGGCACTTCAGGCCCTTCCTGCTCCAGCCCATTCGCAGGGCCGGCCCCTCAGCCTCTGCACGGGGGCCCCCGTGCCAGACGGCCCTCCCTGAGCTCTCTCCCCTTCGAGGCTCCACTCAGAGAGCATCCTGGGAAGCCTCCCCTGACCCCCTTCCCCTAGGCGAGCCCTACCCCTGCCCTCCTCAAAGGACCCTGGATTTGCCCGTGTGCTCGCCGCTGCCTCCCTCTAGGAGAAGGCTAGCTCCCACCCTTCCTCGTCTGACATGTAGGAGACACAATGAGATGGGAAGTTCTAACAGGAAGAAATGGAGTAGGGCCACTCCAAAAAGCAGCGGAAAAGTGGGAGGGAATAAGTATTTATAGAGTGCCTATGGTATGCCGGGTGAAGCACTTTACAATGCTATTCCACTTGAGAGAGGACAGAACGGGGGTTGTGTTGGGGGCCCACAGAGCAGGTGAAGACATCTGGGGGGAGTGAAGCAGAAGTGGGATGCAGAAGGCCCAGCACGCTCTCCAAGGACACCGGGCAGGTCCGGACCACAGATCCTCGTTTTAGGAAGGATACTGACCAGCCAGAGAGCCGGGAGCAGAGCAGGAGGCTGGGGCCACGGAGGAGGAGGAGCCTGCAGCCGGAGAAGACCTGGGCAGAGCGGGTTATGAGGGTCCTCTGCTCACTACCTCCAGGCCAGAGGGCACGCAGGCAGAGGAGCTAGAGCTGCTCAGCAGAGACCCCAAGGCAGAACCAGCGCCAATTTGCGGGCATCTCCGCACCGAGATGGGAGCTGTTCACATCCGAAGCAGTGAGCTCCCTGTCCCCAGAGGTCTTCTAGGCTGGATGGCTACTGGCAGGGCAGACATGTGAACCTTCGTGTCCTGGATCCTGCTCTCTCCTAACCACTCAGGCGTGGCTAGACTTTCCCCTCTAACTTCCAAGAGTCCTGGACTCTCAATGACATTTTAAAACCCCCGGGGTGGGCGACAAATGACACGGTCTCCCGCCCACATCACGCTCACCCCTTAACTAGACCACCTTACCCATCAGACAGATAGTGAGGTCCCCGTCTCTGGTGGTGTTCAGCCGTCCAACTCGGGGTGCAGTGGGGGTACTGCGCCAGACACGCGTGCCCCAGCACACTCGCTGCACTCACACAACCGCCCACGGGGCAAACGGGCACCCAGCAGCGTGGACACGCGTGCGCACGCGCATCAGTTCACCCTCGCAGGTACTCACACCGACCCACAGCCACTCCCACCTACCAAGGGACTGCAAGCACAGGGACAGGCAGCACCAGAGCATCCACGAGGCCGCCTCGCAAGCCTACAGCTCCTCCGGCCCCGCCCCTCCATGACCACGCCCCCTAGCGGGCCCGCCCTCTCCCAGGCCTCCTGCGGATCCGCCCCGCCCAGCCTGGGACAAAGGCCGCATCCCTCTGGCCCCCCGCTGTGAGCACAAAAGCTGCGCCTGCGCACTGCGCACCTAGCCCCCCCGGGGCGTCGCTTCCCAGAGACCTCCACGGCGGCGCCTCTTTTTCATACAGGCCGCGGGTACCTGTGGGAAATGAAGTCCGCCGGCCTTGGGCTCCCGGGGTGGGGGAGGGGGCGGGGATGTGCACCTGCGCAATGACGGGGGTGGGCTGGGGGGAGGTGGCGATGTCTGTGGATGTTTGTGCGTGACCTCCGTCACGTGGGGTCCTCCCCCCACGTCACACTCCCACCGAGTGTGCGCGCGCCCTGCCCCCCGTGTCCGTGGACTGGGTGGGTATGTGTGACCTGTGGGGCCCCCTGAATTCACTTCATCCCCTCCTGGAGCGGGAAGCACCCACTGTGCACCGGGCACTCTACCGACCATTCACAGAGCACCTACTGTGTCCCAGGCAGGGCTTTTGTGGTTCAATCATCCTAACCTCCGTGACCCCTTTTGGCGTTTCCTTGGCAGAGGTCCTGGAGCGGTTTGCCACTTCCTTCTCCAGCCCATTTTACAGATGAGGAAACTGAGGCATGCAGGATGAAGTGACTTGCCCAGGGTCACACAGCCAGGGAGTGCCTGAGGCTGGATTTGAACTCCGGTCCTTCCTGCTCCAGCCCCAGCGCAATTTGGGCCATTGTGCCACCTAGCCCAGATGTAAGCTCCTGGAGGGCAGGGACCGTCTGCCTGTTGTCCTGCATCCCTCACACCTGGACCAGCGCTGGCCATCCCGCGGGACTTAATCCAGCTTGCTGTTGTCCCTGCATCTGGGTGCCTGCTGAGCAGACCAGGCCTCCGCGATAGGCCCTGTTACGAGTGGGGCTTCCGAGGATGGGGAGGGAGGAGGACGTTCCACAAGAGCTCCATCCTGTCCTCCTCCAGGACCTCTCCATCCTTCATGCTCTTCTCCTTCCTGCGTCTTCCCCACTCCTCCATTCAGTCCCATTCCTCACACGTTCAATGGACACCTCTTCCGTGCGAGTTGCTCTGTTCGTGAAACCTTTTTTCCTATCTCCTTAAAGTAGATTTTCAGGGATATTTTCCTCTGAGGGCTGCTTTAGCTGCATCTTAAAATTTTCTATGTATTTTGTCATTTTATCTTGCCTTTATATCATTGTAGTTTCTATGATTTGTTCTTTGAGCCATTCGTTATTCTAGATGTCATTACTCAGCATCTGTATCTGTAACTTTTCCTTACGTCCCCTTGTAGTTATGTTTATCTCCGTGTAGTCTGCAAAGGATTGTTTACTATCTCTCACGCGTTTATAACTTCTCTGTGCGCTACTGCTTGATCAGTGTGTTATTTAACGTACCCACGCGGAAGATGCCAAAGATCGTGCATTTAAAGATTTCCAGCAGTCTCTTCAGTTCTTTCTTTTCCATTTTACCTCTTAGATTTATCCAGCTCTGAAAGAGATACGCACATTAATGTTCCCTAGCACCATCGTGTCAGTCAGCAAGCGTTACTATCCGTGCATTTTTGCAATTCGGTTAGCTTTGCTTTTGTGAATGAAAATGCTCTATCACGTGGTGCCTCTATGCTTAATGATGACACTGTTTCGCTAAACCTTTAAGGATAATGTAGTTTACCTGCTTCTTTTGACAGTGTGAATTTTTATTCTGGCCCAGTTAGTACAGTTCCAGCTTCTGGTTTTCTGGAATAGCCTGACCCATGCTAATTTTTGTTCCAGTCTCTCATTTTCATTCTGTATAGGCTTTTATTTTTTAAAAAGATGTTTCTTATCATACATCATCCCCATTTTTGAAAAGGACACCCATTGGATCTCCTCCAAAAATCGTGTTGTATACTATGCCCAGAGTCTTCATTTTAGAATCCATGTACTTGCACTTCTCAACATGAAGTTCTGAGAGTATGACCCAAGGATTCAAAGGTGACTGAAGAGCAGAAAGGGCTTCCGGGTTAAGTATTTTGTTTTAAGCATGTGTGCATTGCCTCTCTTCCTTATATATAAAATAGGTGTTTGTGCGTGTGCATGTGTGTGTGTGTGTGTGTGTGTGAGAGAGAGAGAGAGAGAGAGAGAGAGAGAGAGAGAGAGAGAGAGAAAGAGGGAAAGAGTGTGTAAAATAGAAGTATTTCTCTCTTTCTGTGTGTGAGGCAATCAAGGTTAAATGACTTGCCCAGGGTCACACAGCTAGTGAGTATCATGTACCTGAGACTGGAGAAAGGGAAGTATTTCAGATATGTTGCCTGGGGTTTTCTTCAGTTTCTGCCAAAAGCAGGGCTTTTTTTCTCCGCGTTCCTTTCTGGTAACTAACTGCCTGATCCAGTTCTTCCAGCCACTTCCCTAACGAAGTATATGTTGACACAGGATTGATGTACTACCATATGTGTATGGAAGAGTGAGCTACATGGCAGATGATACTTGAGCAACTGTGCCAAAAAATAAGGGCAACAAAAGACAAGGAAACTATTTATGAGACAAATTCCCAACCTGAAATTCAATAATTTTCTTAAAAAATAAAAAAAACTTCTTGTGTGTAACAAATTGTGAAATACTGCCTTCTTACCTGTTCTGCCATGTTTTCATTTTACTGAGAGTTTAAATCTACTCAGTTTATGGTTATTATTAGTTTATGTTTTCCTCCATTTCTTTCTTTTGCTTCATTTTCCCCCTTCCTCTTTAAAGTCAGCACTTTGCCCATGAGTTTTGCTCAAGGAGACTTGATGCTGAATGAGTCCTTTCCCCCTCCCCAACCTCTCTTCCTGGGCTGTTTGAAGTTCCTTGAATTTACTAAATCCCTGAGTCCCCCACCACCCCTTCAACTTCTTAACCTGAATAGTTGGTCCTAAAGTAAACAAGTGTTTACTTCTCTAATTTGTGCTAAAATTAGATGTTAGACTGTTAAGTGTCTAATTGTCCTTTGTGTTTCATTTCTTTGAGGGAAGCTCTGATTTCTAACTTCAAAAATTCTTTCTTTAAAGGTGCCATTTCTCTTTTGAGTCTTTCAGAGTTTCTTACTGTTTGCTCCACGATCTTGGGGGATTTCACAGAATTTCTTGTTTTCCCCTCTTTTTTCTCCTTGGTGTTTTTGGCTTGCTTCCCTTCAAGGCATGATATTTACTACATCATGGCCTTTTCAGGGATGCTTGGTCATTTCTCCTCCTTCATAAGTCATGTTGTTGGACTAAAGTTACTCTGCCTTACTTTTTGTCCTTTTTTTTTTTTTTAACTATTTTCCCCGAAAGAATGTAAGAAGGCCACTGTGGCTCAAAGGGAGGCAGAACAGACATCTTTAGCCTCTTCTCCTCCCACCCTTCCCCAGGGGAGACTTTAATTCCTACCAGGAATAGAAGCAGGAGGTTGGGACCAGAAGCCAGCACTCTACTTCCCTCAGAGAGAGGAGTACTGGGCTAGAACTGTATCTATCTGTTCCCTTAAGTATTATTTGTGTAGAAGATATGATCAGGTTCTATCTAATTCTTATTGCTTTGTCATTTTGGGTGGGAGACCCCAAGTTCCGTATCCAAGATCTGACCCCTTTCCAGGCTAATACAATTCCACAATGAACGCACATAGGGAATAGCAAAGAAACCCATTTATCCAAATCAAAGCCAACCAGAAATCAGATAAGATATACCTTGGAGATATCTACCAAACAACAGAGTGAAGGAGCTCTGCAATTAGGAGTGAGATACTCAGCTCAACCAAGCGAGAGGGCCTCACCCAAGAGGAAACTTCAAGAAGTCTATAGAGTGGCAAACAGGCTGGAGGCTGCTGGCTTCTGCCCAAAGTCTTTTCCTTTGGCACCCTGCAGTGCAGCCAGCCTCTTCCATCTTCTCTCTCAAAGCTGGAAGCCAGGAGCACTGAGCAAGACTTGACTGGGAGCTTACTGAGTCTTCTTGCCCTGAAGAGTCCCAAAGGGGCCTGGCCTGGAACTGAAGCTCTCCCCTCTCATCAGCTCCTTCCTTCCCTACACACAGGTCAGGGCGTTCATCTCTACAATAAGGAGAGAGTCCCAATGGGCTTTGGGACCAAATGTTTGAGGAATTGCCTTCTCTCTGCCCCTCCTGCCCCCTCTCCCCACTGAGGATGCAAGAAAACCAAAATCACCCGTTATAGACAGGTACACTCAAGCAAGACATAATTCCTTCCTCGTCTGCCTCAGTCTGCACCTGGAACCCCTCATCCTTCTGTCTGGAAGTGAGCAACATGTTTCATCAAGAGTCCTCTGGAATTGTGGTTGGCCCTTGAATTGATCAGAGTTGCTAAGTCCTTCCAAGTTGTTTGTCTTTATGTATAGTTGTTACTGTGTTCCTAACTCTGCTCACTTCACCCTATCAATTCAAACAGGCCTTCCCAGGTTTTTCTGAACCATCCCCCTTGTCATTTCTTAGAGCACAATAATATTCCATCACAATATATACCACAACTTGTTCAGCCATTCCCCAGTTGATGGGCATCCCCTCAGATTTCAATTCTATGCTGCCACAGAAAGATCTTCGGTAACCCTCTTTGTCCACTGAGGGCCTTTTGTCTTTGGGGTATAGACCTAGCAGCAGTATATCTGGGTCAAAGGATATGCACAGTTCAATAGCTTTTTGGGCATGGTTCCAAATTGCTCTCCCCAAGGACTGGGCCAGTTCACAACTCTACCAATAGTGCAGTAAATTAGCACCTGCTGTCCCACATCCCTCCAGCCTTTGTCATTTTCCTTTTCTATAATGTTGCCAATTTGGTCAGTGTGTAGCAGAACCTTGGAGTTAATTTATTTCGCATTTCTCTCATTATTAGTGACTTCGATAATTTTCCTTATGGCTATTAATCGATACCGTGGATTTCTTCCTTTGACCCACTCCTAGTGGGTTTGCATGAAGCATTCCTTTGCACCCTCTCTGCTGTCTGGGCCTGTTTTCTCCTGCACAGACCTCCAAAGCTGGGGGT